CCCGGGAGCGACCACTGCACTCCAGTCTGGGCGACAGAGTGAGACTCCAACTCAAAAAACAAACAAACAAACAAACAAACAGACAACAAACAAAAAATACTAGTTGCACTGCTCTGTTTATAATTGCTCATGTTAGACAAACAGTAGACAAATGCAGCAATAAATCGGTTGTATTAACAGAATATCTTCCTCATTGCATGTGTAGTTGTCGTTTGAGTACAGATTCCATGCCTATGACTGAGTTTCTTCTAGTATGATTGGAAGTTTCTTTTTTCTTTGCTCTGCATAAAACTGCTGTGGAGTCTCTATAGAAAGTGGCATTTTGGAGTTTCCCTTTTTTTTGTAAAGCAATTGTCTGCCTAGTTTGTTGTCCGCTTAACTTTAGTTACCTTTTAAACGTTGGCATTGTAGATAAAACAACTTGCAAAAAGTTAAGAAAAAAATTAGCTAGGTGCCTGGAATTTCCCTTGAAGGAACACAAGATTTTCTTTATTTTCAAGCTTGGGGAACCCCCAGGCTCCTAAGAGGAGTCACTTCTCTGTCTCACCAGGGGCTTGGGTGAGGTGGGTGGACTTTAGAAGCAACAACCTTTAGGACTAGTGCTTATTGTGGCATCACTGACTTGCTTCCCTTCGGAACCCGGGTCTTGGGTGAGAGGCTAATGTGGACTGGCTGGTCTTCAGAACTAATTAGTGGTGCACTAATTAGTGGTGGTGACTTGTTCACAACTTGGCCAAACAACAGTCTTTTCCTTTCTGGAGTATGAAAAATAAGTCATTGTAATTCTCAGCCCTTTTTCCCTCTCCCAATCCCAGCCGCACCCATAGGAAAGACCACAGGACTCACTGAGACCTTGATTGTGGAGATCAGGATTTCTGTAGTGGTGCCATTTTAGTGATTCAGGCCTCAATTAATGGGGTGGCAAATTAGCTCTAACTGCTGAATTTGCATAATTTATTGGAAAAAAATAAAGCTGAATACAGGACTTCTAGGGTATCCTGACAAAGCAATACAGGATATAGGACAAAACTATTAAATACAGGACCTGTCCTGTGTATGTGTATACAGGATGCCAGGTCACCCTAATTTAGAAATCTGTGGAGCTGAAGTGGGTCACAGCTCTTCCCCCCTTCTACTCACCCTTTTGACATAAATGTTAGGTTTAACAATGAGACAGTCTCTATCAGATCCCCGACCTTTACGTCAGCATAGAAAGTTTTGAGATGGCTGACTAGATGGTAGAACCTTCTCTGAACATGTTGAATAGAAAGGAAGGGACATCATGGCTGCAGTGTCTGACTAAGAGTTTCTTTTACCCAACTGCCCATCTTTAACCATACTCTCATGGGCAGCATTATAAGGGCCATCAGAATTTCTCTGAGCTCTTGTTTATGTCCCCGGGAGCCCTAGATAGGTACCTGGCAGTCTGCAGGCACAGGACTCTTTGTGCAGTTGGTGATGGACAGGTGTTTCCCATGGTTTCTATAAACACAATTAGACTTTGGGACAGTTTAGAGAAAAGACTAGATTCATGGCAAATATGTCAAATAAAAGGTACTCACTTTCCCAGGAACACCTGTCAGAGAGTGATGAGAAAAAGCTATTCTCTTAGGAATAGAAACAAAAAATATACAATGCACATGAGAATGAGATTAATGAGAACTGTAGGAGCAGTGGAGGACCTCCTGGGAAATGACAGGAAGGAAAGAAAACCGAGTAGAGAGAGATGGGAAACATGTTAAGGAAGCAGAAGACAGAAGATTGCAAAACTCAATTGCCCTTCTCAAACTAACCTGTGGGCTTAATGCAAATCCAACTCTTTATAAGTGTTAAAAGGATTCCAGAGTGAATTAAATATTTGAGAGGAAAAAAAACACTAAATATAATGGGAAAGTATATTATCAGAGATTCTGAAACAATATTATCAGAGATTCTGAAACAAAATAGAAATGATGAAGGAATTAAAATTGTTTGGCTAGTGCTGTCTAGTTAAGATTCTTAAAAAGATGTGTACTCAAAAGTATAGAAACATAGGCCAAAGAAAAAGAATGAAAACACAGAAGTGTTTGAAATTTGCTAGAGTAACTTTCTCAGAAAGAGAGGAAAGGATTATTTAGTGAATATTCTTGGAATAATTGGATCCTCAATCTTGAGAGGGAACATAATGGGATCCTTACCCTCTCTTATATGTAGGGTTAAAGTCAGCTAAATTAAATAATCCCATGGGGAAAATAAGGTTTTAAAAACTAGCTGAAAAAATAAAAGTATAGTCTTATGAAAGACTAAAAACTCCTCAGCTTGGAAGCAATGAAAAGAATCACAGAATAAAAGTTATGCAGATATTTTTTTTTGAGTTGGAGTCTCAGTCCGTCACCCAGGCTGGAGTGCCTTGGCATACTCACGGTGACCCCAGTGTCGACCAGCAGGGCTCCTGTGATCCTTCCGCCTCACCTCAGCCTTCCAGGTAGTCAGAACTACAGGTGCACGCTACTACTAATTTTTTTTTTTTTAGTTGGAGTCTCACTCTGTTGCCCAGACTGGAGTGCAGTGGCCACTCCCGGCCATCGCAGCCTCGAACTGCTGGGCTCCGGCGATCCTTCCGCCTCAGCCTTCCAAGTAGCTGGAACTACAGGCACACGCTACCACCCCCGGCTAATTTTTGATTTATTGTAGAGATGAGGTCTCACCAAGTTGCCCAGGTGGGTCTCGAACCCGCGGTCTCAGGCAATCCACTCACCTCAGCCTCCCAAAGGCGCGAGATTACAGACTGAGCCACCGAGCCCAGCTCGGATTTTTTATTTATTGTAATTTGTTATTTATTGAAGAGATGAGGTCTCGCTAAGTTGCCCGGGCTGGTCTCGACCCTGCAGACTCAGGCAATCCACTTGTCTCGGCCTCCTAAAGTGCTGGGATGACAGACTGAGCCACCAAGTCTGGCCAAAAGTTACACAGATTTTAACATAACAGTATTACATTTTGATATTATATTAAAAACTAAAGTCACAGGAACAGTGGCTTGAACCTGTGATCCCACCTACTTGGGAGGCTGAGGTGAGAGGATTGCTCAGACATTTCCTACAGCAATGAAAGCCTGGAGTTGAGGGTAAAGGAAATAAAAATATTTACCCCAAAATATATTTCTTTTTGGCATATTTTGAGATGGCTATCAGAGAGTCAGCAAACGGAAGTGACCCTGCAAACCCCTGTCTTTTCTGGGGGACATTTACATCGGTAGAGAATCTGCATGATACAGCCAGGTCTTTCCTAGTTGTAACTGAGTATCTCAGCCTTAAAAGATATTTTTAGGTTTTTTTCCCTCTCTTTCTTAATCTTAAGCCATGACACATGTTTAGAAATGTCTTTTCTCCCTTTATCTACCAGACACTCCCTTGAACCATGTCCACTTATCTGACTGTATGCTTGCTTAGAAATCTCAGGGGCTAATCTTAAAACAGCCTGACTGTGGGACCTTCTGACTTGGGATATTTGTGAGACAGTTGATCTATAACATGACTGCAGCTGAGATAACACCAACCAGCCCCCTGGGAGGACCACCACCCATCATAAGCCATCGAAACAAAACACCCTGTGCCATTCCTGAAGGTTTTCTCCTACCAAGTTTCCTTTTTTAAACCCTTGCACTCAGCTTAAAAATATGACATGGCTTATTTGAGGCATAAACCTGGCCTTTTCCCCATCTGAGGCTTTGGAATAAAATCACCTTTCTCTTACTACATCATGTGCTTGTTTATTTCAGTTTATAAAGCAGCTGAGTTTACTATCAGTAACATTGTCAGATATAAGAAAGATTAACTGAGAGTCTGACACCTTAAAGATCTGAAAGAAACATTTATCACTGATTCTCTCTTAAGGCTGCTACCTGTAAGGCTTCATCTACATAACAAGACCACTTTTGCTAGCCAAATCTCATCTCCCTCTCTTAACCTGTTTTGTCACTATAACCTGGTTTATCTGATTTATCACCACAATGCTTTTAGCCATCCCCAGAGTCCCCTTTCTTTCAGTAGTCTCAAGATGGGGTACAAGCTTCTGTACCCCATTGGGGGATGGGCAGTCACTCTATGACTCTCCCTGTGTGCATGTTAGCAAAATTTGTATACCTTTTCTACAATTATTCTGCCTTTTTTAGTTGATTTTCAGTGAAACTTCAGATAGCAAAAGGCAGATTGTTTCCTTTCCCTCTGCAAGGGTCAGGCAAGTTTGGTTTAGAATCTCTACCCAGTGAGTTTACTGAAGTTAAGTTTCTCTGCCCAAGTCAGGAAAATAATATTTCATGCTTTCTTAGAATTGTGGGTTAAATGAACACTAATAATATGAACACTAAAAGAAGAAAGATGAGGCAAATTAATAGAAGCAGAGATTTTATTGGGGTCAAGCTTAAGGATTACAACTCAGGAACATAGATTCAAGTTGCCCTCAATATATACTTTGATTAGCAGCAATTACAAGTGTGCCACTGCACTCCAGCCTGGGCGACGGAGTGAGACTCCAACTCAAAATAATAATAATAATAATAATAATAATTTATCTGGAGAACATAAATGGAACGGGTTGTCTTTGCCTGGCTATCTAAGGAGGTGAGCATTCTGTCTTCCCAATCTCTGGTGTGCACTACATTATGATGTAAACTTTATCCAATAAAACAGTTTTCTTTACTACTTATGTGAGAGATTTTATGGTTTGGGAAAAGATTTTGTTTTCAGTTATATTTCCCCAAATCATGCAAAAATGTTGTGTGGGTGGTGGTCACAGTGTGCAGTAAGCTCAAGAGGGCTGAGTGGTGGCAGAATCCTCTTAATTCTTAGCTTCCTCATCAGTGAAATGAGGAGAATAACAACTGTCTCCCAGTGTCACTGAAAGAATTTACTTAAATTATG